GGGGAGCGGGTCCGCAGCCCCCTGTGCCTGCAGTGGGGCAGCCACAGCCCCGCGGCTCAGCACAGCCCCATGCCCGGCCAGGCCTCCTGTCAACGGCCTCCCAGGGGAAACTGAGGCACGACGCCACAGCACAGGTGTGCCTCCCCACACCTAACCGTGACGCTGCCCCCGTGCTGTGCCAACGTCCTGGGTGGCAAGGCAGCAGCTGTGGTGGCACACTGGAGTCTTTGGGATGCTCTTTGGCCAGCGGGGACTGGGGACACAGTGCAGAGAAGCCACCAGCAGCACAGGAACCCCAAACCCTCTTGTGTCTTCTCATAGGCACTGGGGCAGCTCAGCACTGCTGCTCCCCACTGCTGCGGGCACGGGAAGCCCCTCGGGGGCTGCAGTAACTGGGGTCTGCTCCTTGCCTGGCTCTGCAGCCAGGTCACATAGCCCCAGCATCATTAGCCTGGCTTGGTCACCCCGTGCAAGGTCCACATCAGAAAGGGCAGCAAAATGGAGCTGAACGTTGCAAGAGGTTTCGTGATGATACAACAACCCCAAGTCCAACTACGGGGATGAAATGTTCCCCCTCTGGAGCTGGGAGCAGCACTGGCAGCAAAGCAGGATGGGTGCCCTGGGATCCTGCTCCTCTGGGATCCAGGCTGGTGGCAACAGGGACTGTGGTGGCATCAAAGGTGGACACAGACGAGCAGAGAAGAGAGGACAGAGAGCAGAGAGACCATGGGGCCAGGGGGCTGCACCCTCCTACCTTTCCCCTGAACACAGGGTGGGGCTGATGCTTTTCTGGCCAGGGGTGAAGGAGTGATAAGGTGGTGGGGCTCCATCGGGCAATTTTTTCACCTCTGAGCTCCTAAATCCTCCGTTGCGGACTCGGTGCAAATGCTCAAACATTAGGACCAGCTCTCTGAGGTTGGGGTTAAATAAAAACATGGAGAAAGTAAACTTTCCAAAGCAAATGAGATAAGCAAACTAAGGCTGAGCAGAGCTGGGTTCTCCTCTGTGCAAACCAAAGCAAAACCAGAGCAAAATAAGAAGCAAAGACCAGGAGTTTCTTTCCAAAGACAGTTTCTTAACAGCTCCAAATGGGCAGCTGGGAAGCTGGGGGTTGGTGGTCCTGGGGAAGGGGATGCTGGAAAAGGGTCCCACAGAGGCTGAGGGGCTGGAGGGACGGGTTAGGAAGGGGACAGGCAGGACAGCCAGTCTTGCCACAGGGTGGGGACAGAGGGACTGCCACCATCTGATCTGGGGGCCCGGGCACTGCCACAGAGGAGCCAAAAGGGGAAAGCTCAGCCACGCAGGGCTGGAGCCTGGCCCTGTCCCAACTCCCTGCTGCAGGAGAAATGGCTCCAGGCAGAGCAGGGGGGGCTGGCAGAGGCCCCTGCCGTGACACCCACGCTGGGAGAGCTGGGCACTGTGCTCGGTGGTGATGTGCAGGGAGCTGGAGCTCCTGTGTCAGGGACCAGAGGGACTCGCTGCCACGGCTGCTAAGAGCCCTGTCTTTGAAAAAATAAAGAGTGAAACAGAACCAGGAATTTGTCACTGCAAAGGAAGATGTGAAAACGTGGCTGGAACGAGGGCAGGAGGCACAAGCAGAGGTGGGGCTTGGGGACCACATGGGGACTGCATGGCAAACCCCAGTGGGGATGGGGAACACACGGGGCACCTGGAAAGTTTTGGAGAGTCTTCGATCCACCCGTGGTGGCACCAGGAGCCAGGGGAGGGGAGAGAGCTGCAGGGATGGGGCAGGGGGCTCCTGTCAGACCCCCTCGGGTCCCTCCACCCTGCTGCTGCACCCGGTTGGCTGCATCTCAATGGCCCCAGCCACCATGTTCCCGTGGCAGGCGGCACCATCCTCTTCCTTGGTGCTGGAGGAAGGCTACACATGGGGTGGGAGGGGACAGGGTGGGATGGGTGCTGGGTGCTGTGGGGATGGTGAGGATGGAGGAGAGTGTTGGACACTTCAGCAGACACTGTGCTGGGGCTCTGGCATCCTGGGGATGAGCAAGGCCCCACCGAGCCCTCGGAGGCACCAAGTGGCCCCTTGTGGTGGGGGCTGCCCAGGTTGTTTATCGACCTGGGACCCCCCTTTCAACCCCCACCACCCTCACCTAGACCCTGCCTACCTGATGGAAGGCAGGAGGCTGTCATAGTAGCACCAGGTGGCTGTCAGGTAGGGCCGGCGGGGG